CCTGCACATATTTCTGGCTGTGCAGAAGAACCTTTGGGCAAACCTGGGGACTTCAGCCGGACAGGGTGCTCTGGCTATACTCAGCGGTGCTCCGGCCAAGACCGCTCTATGCTGCTGTGATCTGGTGGCCAAGGACACAGCTCGAGCATCGCTGAAACGCGTCAGGGCTCTTATTTTAAGAAGGGCTTTTGGAGCAATGAGGACAACGCCGGTGGCAGCAATGAGAGTGCTGCTCGGCATTGAACCACTCCATCTTGCGATAGTAGCGGCAGCGGCGGCCACTGCGTACAAGTTGAAGTGTGTGGGCAAATGGACGGTTGGGGTGGGTCACACTCGGATACCACGGGAGATCCAGATGGAAACCGTGTTGGAAATGAGGCAAAACAGGATGCCAAGAAGGTGCGACTTCGATAGATCTTTCAAGATCTATCTGCCTAATCGTGAAGAGTGGGAGAGGCACGAGGTGCTATTAGGAATGGGGACGTCTGGTACACGGATGGCTCCAAGACTGACGGGGGCGCTGGTGCCGGGATCTTTGGAAGCCGTGGTGGATTCAGGGAAGCTCCCCCCCTCGGAGAATTCACCACGGTATTCCAAGCGGAGGTGGTGGCAATCATGAGCTGCGCTCAAACGCTGATTGCATCAGGGGAGACGGACAGGCGCATCAGGATCTGCTCGGATAGTAGAGCGACCCTGGGGGCGCTGCGGGCGTGCGTCTTTGACTCGTGGCTAGTCTGGGGGTGCAAGGGTGCATTGGACAGGCTTTCTGCGGACAATGACGTCGCTCTTGTGTGGGTCTCGGGGCAATCGAGAATCAAAGGCAATGAGATTGCTGATGAGCTAGCAAGAAGCGGCTCATCAGCCAGTTTGGTTGGATCGGAACCGGCCCTTGGACTGCCCAACTGTAGTGATAGGGCAAAAATAAAGGACTGGCTACGGGACCGCCACATGGAAGGAGGAAACAAGGACCAAGTGCCGGCAAGGGCCCTGCTGGGAGAAGTGCCCAGTAGAAACCTTGCTAGGAGTATTAGGGCCTTAAGAAGAGGGGAGGCCAGGCTGGCGGTGCAAATCTACATGGGCCATGACTTCACCAACTACCATATGCACAAGCTAGGGCTTAGTGATAACCCGAAGTGCAGGAAGTGCGAACACGGAAAAGAGACTACTCTCCACGTCCTATGCGAATGTCCAGCATATGCTGGACATAGGCGGCTTCTACTGGACTCGATATTTCTCGAGCCCGAGCAGGTATGTCAACTCCAGGTCAGAGATCTCATTCGCTTCTGGAGGAAGATTGGTCTGAGCTGATCTGGGGGGGTGGCACCCAGTTGGACACGGCTCAATTGGACACGAGCCACTCACAGCGCTTGAGACTACAAAGCTCCTAAGCACTAGTCGCTGTGATTGGTGGTGTCCAATCGAGACGTGGTCAATCGGGATCACCCCATCTGGGGTTAGTACGGCTGGGAAGACACAATGGACCTAGTCTGCGTGTCGTTGCCCAGTCAGAAATGATAATCGATTCGATATCGATTCTATTATCATTTCTGACTGGGTGGTGGGCCCCAACAGGAGGCTGCATCCCGAGCTATTACTATTATTATTATTATTAGACTTTTTTCCTTATTATCATCAAGATTGGAAACATTAAATAGATTTTTTGTTGGAATCAATATTCCCAAACTTTTTTAAAATTCCTGAAAATATTAGCATCTCTGAAAATATAGAATAAATCACGATTTGTTAATGTATTCATTGTGCTGTAAATTAATGGAATGAGAAAGAAGGAAACAAACCTGATTTGAATATAATTTAAATAAAGATTTGCGAATCAAATTTCAAATCTTATGATCAGTGTTCTCATTTATATACACTGTTAGAAATTTCTCAATGAATTTTAATTAACATATGTAAAGGAAGCAGGTGGTTATGCACGAAATTAAATGTAATGAATGATGTAAATAAAAACTAAATTACAGTAGTCTTAAATGTGATGAACGTATGTAT